AAAAAAAAAAGACAAAAAAGAGCAACAAACAATAAACCCAAGAACATTAAAATAGAGGAGAAAAAACACCCCCAAACAAACAAACAAACAAACCCAAGAAGCGACGGTAATCGCCGCACGCAGTGTTGTGTAACAGGGTCAGGGCGGCAGAGGTCCCTCGAGGAAGGGGAAAGGCAACCAAACAGACTTATCTGTGATGACAGTCCGCTCACCTCGACGCCTCTGTGTCAACGCGAGACCAAACACCACCCCCTCCCCCCTTGCGTTTACAACTCCGGCGACACGAGGAATAGGTCAGAACACTTTCATAACACTTCAGCCACGGAACGAGTCTGCTTGTTCGTCAATCCGAGAAGTTTTCACTTTTCAAGACGTGAAAAAAACACAAGAAGTTGGGTGGATGGAGTGATGTACATTATGCAGAAGTGGGAGAAAAGTGCATTGGACAAACCGTTAATAAGTTAATACGTGTACTGGATTTACTACTGTCCGACAACGATATTTTATATGGCTCTCTAAGTTCTAATGACCCCCGTGTGTTTACTTCTACACCGGCGACAGAAGGAATGGGTCATAACACTTTAGCGACGGAACGTGCCTGCCGACCCAAGTTTTATTTCAAGTGCTGAAAAGAACACAAGAGATTGGATGGTATTTTCTCACTCTGAAGAAACGTGCTTTGGACTAATCGTTTATACGTTAACACATATTCACGATTTACTCCTGTTTGACAACGCTGGTTTTAACTGTGTTTACTTCTGCTTCGACGACTCTGGGAATTTGTCATAGCACTTTAGCGATGAAACGAGCCTGCCTGCCTACCAACCCGATCACACAAGAAGCTGGATTGGATATGGACACGCGGTAGAAGTGTGTATGATTTACCGTTAATAAGTTAATAAGTCAATGAGTGTCCTGGAGTAACTGGAGTACCGTCCGAACGTCAGAGATCCTCGTGGTATTGTTGTTTAGTACAACATGTGATTGGTTTGTGTGTAGTTCTTCTTGTTTTCATAATATAGAGATACTCTTAGACACAATTTAGTTAAGCAGGAAGCAACACTAATACTTTATATTTGATATTGGGGACAAACATAGAAGTCGGGGGCTTTCAATGCCCTGGTAAAGTCCGAGAGTTTTTCCCTATCCAGGCTGTATTGTGCACTAGCATCTGCAGGGGTGCGGTTTGGATCATTGCCCTTGCGCGCAGAAGATGTGAGTTCGTTTCTCGAGTTGGGAAGATTTTATATATTTATTGTGTCGATTATTTCTGTCCATCAGCTTCATTGCTGTGTCACCGTTGCAGGTCTGGTGGAAGCAGCCGCCTCTTAACACACCCAGATTGTGTGGATGGAAGGCAGAAAGCATGTACAATAATTACAATGTCAGTGCTGAGCTGTCGTGCTTCTTTGTTACTCAATAATTAGCGCCGGGAACGGTAGTAGTTTTTGTTTGACATTGACAATCACGTGCTGCGGTCAATTCGGAACAGCTGGTGACGGTGGCAAGGCTTGTGCCGCGGTGCAGCGCCCTGGGTTTCAGCTCGGGTTACCCTTTCCTTCTCAGGGTCACGCCTCACTGACCACCAGCTTTTAATTCCATGCACTGACATTGCTTTGTGGTCTTTGTGGATCTATCATGTGTACTTTTTTTTTTTTTTTTAAGGAAGGAGAAATAATGCTTCCAGTCTTCGATATTTGGTTGTAAGCCAGTTTTTAGGTAATGGAGAGAAGTGTTCGCTCTCTCTCTCTCTCTCTCTCTCTCTCTCTCTCTCTCTCTCTCTCTCTCTCTCTCTCTCTCTCTCTCTCTCTCCCCAAAAGTCTCACACATAT